ATAATATATATATATATATATATATATATATATATATATATATATATATATATATATATATATATATAAACTGGCCTACGATCAGATCGGGGAAATTTGTTAGTGGTCCCGGTTACTAAATTAAAGATTGCATCACGTAGTTTTGCAGTTTATGGACCAAGGCATTGGAATGAACTTCCATATTTTTTGCGCCGGTCTGGTCTGACACTTCCCCAGTTCAAAAGTCAATTGAGGACATATCTTTTTTCCTTGTAGAAAATTGCCATAGTTGTAAAGCGCCTATGAGAATGTTTTTAATAGGCGCTATATAAATGATCATATAATAATATAATAATAATAATTAATATAAAGTTAATTTTGACAAAGTCAATATTTCCCTATATATACAGCAAGGAGCACTGACGATGATTCATTCGGAATCGAAATATGGCCTTATTTGCAGCACGAATTCGAAAAATAAGTTTATTTTGAATTTTAATAAACTAAACGTTCACCAAAAAACGTTAGTGAGAAAAATCGAAAAAACGAACTACAAACATATTAACGCCAAACATTCGGTAGAATATTGTATATATATATATATATATATATATATATATATATATTGTGAATCCTATCGAATTGTTGGCATTAACCAATTTAATCAATATATATAATTATTTATATAACGTTCTTTTTTTATATCGTTGATAAAATTACTTGAAAATTATTCATCCTTCAAGATAGATCGCAGGTGAAGCCATGTGAGACGCCCTCGATCCACATGTATGCAGGTGATGTTTCGATGGTTTCTACGTATTCATTTAATCAATCATGTTGAATATTTCATGGAGGTGATGAAGAAATTCATTTTAAATAAAATTTAGTAACTCAATGTTTTTAATAAAATTGCTAAGGCCATTCCACAGAGCATTTTTTTCTGTTTGTATGATGAGGCTTGCATCAAAAACAGCGTTTCAATATTACAATTTAGCTTTGAAAATTGTTTCAGAGAAAATTTTGCAAACAACATCATCGTAAACTCTACTGCTTATCTATGTATTAAAGTATTTATAAACTTTGCAAGTAATCAACTGCTCAAACGATTGCAGATGGAATGAAGGATCTGCAACTAAGCCATGTAATTATAAGATAACAATTGTTTAAAGTGTACGCCTCTGGTTGAATATGCAATATTTTTAAAAAATCAAACATCATCAATTGATCAACCAATGTTATTGTTTACTGACGAAACTTTAATAAAAAGCTTGTGTGATGCATTGCTTGCGAATGTTTTCCATGATCTGTTTCTTTTTGGGTTTCACCTTTCAATATTTCGATTTTACATTTTATTTGCTTTGGATTTTTTGATTTTGAATGATACGTTTGTTTTTTTTTCATTTTTTTTCTATGCCACTTTTGGAAGAAATGGCATTTTATTCCTTTGTGAAAACATAGAAAAAGCTTCAAATTTAATCATTGTGTTTGCACAATAAACCCAAATTATTACAAATTTTTGACTTTGATACAAGTTATTAATTTTGAATTTATAAAAATATAGATGAGCTTAAAACGCAAATAACGTGATGAAATTTGATAGAGCCAGCGTTCGACGTGGTTCAGTTGGAGACCTTTAAGAATGAAGCAGTAGGGGCGTGTGGCCTGGATGTTTACATCGATGGCGTGCCTCACCTTGGTATCAACCAAATATACCCCCCTGTTAAAGTCTACAAAAAAATTTGCTTTTATTCTAACGATGGTAAATTAATTTTTTACTAGTTAATTAATCAATAAATGAATTAATTGGAGTTTCACCACTATTTAATTTTAGTTGTTTTAACGTGAAAAGAAGTGTTTTTAAAGTGAAAATGGACATTATAAACCCATCAACAAAAAAATTGGCCCTCGTCAAAATGTTGGCCCTCATGAGCACAGAAAATGTTTTAAAACAAATTTGAAAATTTCTCCTCCGGACACCAAGTTTTGTGTAAATTTCACACCCCGGTCATGAAGTTGCTAGAAATTCTTCACACGCAGGGTCGTCAACTTTATCGAAAAATTCCCTCCCCCTCGAATATCAAGTTAAAGTTTTTGTTGAAATTTTTTTTTGAAAATTCTCCCCTCCCCCCTCCTTTTTCAAAATCTTGGCCCACCCGTCAAATTTGTCTAGATTCGCCACTGTTTAACTTTTTCATTAATGTATCGACAAATATAAATATTTTAATTAATTGTGTGTGCTGTGATTCTGTTGAAATTTTGTAAGAATCGCGGGTTCAACTTTTCCACACGTGTTTATAACGGCAAGCATTTTTATTTTTTAATTATGTAATAAATTAGTGTTGAATCATGTAGCGTCAAATTGTTGATTGTTCTCGGTGCTCATTGTTGGGATGGAACTTGGTTTGATAATATTCGTTTCTGCGTGGCAGGTCGGATATTTTCACCCAGAGGTGGACGGGAATGGCTTTTTCATCCAAATTCCGTTCCATTCCCATCAAAGCCTTTCCCGTGAACTTCACCAACCAATTCCCATTTCCCTCCCATTCCCTCCCTTTGTTATTTTGATTCGTGTTATCTTTGCTGTTATTACCAGGGTGTGTATTGTTTCTGTTGTTGTTTTAGTTGTTGTTCGTGTTTTTACGATCATTGGTGTTGTTGTTGTGGTTATTGTTATTTTTGTTATTCGATGTGTACATTCTATTATTCGAGTTTTTACTGTTGTTGTTTGTTTTATCGTTGTGGGCGGCACTGTTGTTATTAATGTTGCTGTTGTTTTTTTTGTTATTACTGGATGTATATGGTTTGAGTTTTTATTGTTGTTGTTGTTATTGTTGGATTTGTCGTGGCGGACAACGTCGCTATATAGCCTCTGGTTATTCGTGGATCTGATGGCGTTCGTAGTTATCGTTGTGGTGGTCGTCGCTGTAGTTGTGCGGTTGTTCGTTGTTCTTGGTGTAGTAGTTGCTATGGAAGTGGTCGTTCAGTCTATCTCGAGAATTGCTTCTTCTATTTAGCACATAGTAGATAAATAGAAGAAGGGTCACTCGTGTAGTTTACGCTCGGACGTACGATTTCGTATCTAGGTAGAATTTTCTCCCACTGGTATGCGTCCTGTGGATGTCTAACGGGTAGAAGTTCTCTTGCCACACGTGGTCTCTGCATGTGGATGTCGTCCCATTCATTCATGTAGTACCTATTCGTGTAGAGTGGGTTTCTGTATGAAGTGCCCACGTCATGCGAATACAAGATTCTTCTCTCGTCGTTCAAATAATTACCAGCGTACAACAACATGTACGCTGGTAATTATTTGTGTACATTTTCTTATAAAAATGTACACAAAACTAAAATAGGTAGTCAAAATATTTTATAAAGAAATATGCTTAAAATTTGACAAGCTACGTCATAAAGTAAAGGATATAAAAGTTTTTTTTCTTTCCAAAATGTAATTGGGTCAGTACCTTTTCTAATTTTTAAGTTGAGATTTTCTGATAAATTCATAAAATATTCTGATAATATATTTTGTCAAAAAACACAACACCTTCACCAATTTTCTGTTTTCTATTTTTGAAGCCATATTTTTACAATAGTTATTTTCTACAGTCAAAATACAAATGGTTAATGGTTAATGCGATCAGCTGAATCATAAAAATTTAAAAAATTTAAAAAACAGGAAAAGCGTAAAAGTGAAAGGAAGTGCATTTTAATTATTGCAGCTCACATGTTGCCCCCAAATTTTTGAGGCTCGACCATCTGCTGCAGGCGGCCCTGCCCTCATTTTTGGAACGCCATCAAACCTGACCGACCATGCAATTATGAGAATCAATCATTTAATTATTTATTTATTGTTAAATTTGTGATTTAAATAAATATTCAATTATGTGTGCAGTCCGTTGCGCCCTGGCCGTAGAAGACATTGCAGGCACTTTCTTTGAAAGTAGTGCGACTTACAGTTGCGTCGAAGAGTAAGTTAATTAATTAGTTTATTTATTATTTAACTAACTAATTAAATTTGTACTTTCTCTCTCTCTCTCTCTCTCTCTCTCTCTCACACACACACACACAAATTTGTATTACAAACATTTTAAAAACTGAACAAAAATAAAAATCTGCATTTGTTGAAATTATTGTTGAATGACCGAGGTAGTTAAGCCTTTTGTGACTAGATTGATTATTTGTAACTTATGTAAAAATAACTGAACAAGTAAGAACAAAACCTTTTAAATAATGAATATAACGCAGAGGTTGACAATGACTATAATTTTTCATGTTTTGTCCCTTATAAAGTTATAATTTGTTATTAGTTTCTTAATCTTACTGGCGTTGCCCACATTTGTTTAATTTATTTAACAAAATAGACACTTTAATTCTTCTACAGTCAAATAATTCAGTTAATGTCACTATTAGTCAAAAACACATCACTGAGAATTAGCACATCAAGGAAAAATATTAAATTGTAGAAAGTTTACTAACTAGCAGTGGGTACTGGACACCGTAAACTTCAAACACCAACGATCACTTTTATTATTTCTCCCTGGCACTTATTATCATTTTTACTGTTGTCTCTGTTTGAAATGATCCGCCAGTTAGTAATTCGACGAAGTAATTTAAAATGCAACATGTTCAAATATTCAACTGTCACTCTACATAAGCCGTTAATTTTATTTTAATAGTAAAAAAAATAAATTTTTAATAAGAATAGAATAAACAAATTTGATTTTTTTTGAACACTTGTTGCTTTAAAATATTTCTTTTTTTTTAATTTTGATGTCATGTTAACCTTATAATTCCATGGTGACGTTTGATCAATCTGTGTTAACTTGAAATACTGCACTGTGTTAATTTTAGTTGAGGTGGTCGACAGATGCCCCGTCATTCAGTCGTACTTTGCTAAATAAATTCTGAAAATATAAAAATATTTTAAAATATTTCTAGTGTACACCGGCTAGCGATGAAATTGAAAGACACATGTAAATAACACCATCCTGCCAGGAGCGTTGACAAGTCAGACTGCACCACTGACAAGAACGACGTTGAAAACTGGGATCAGGGCAGAGTCGCCAAAAAATTGCCGAGCGGATTGACAGATTGGAAAGAGGGTAAGAATTACATTTCATCCCAGACGGAAGATTTTAGTGACTACCTTTGCCAGAAATATCGCAACGAACCTTTACCAGCATTAGGTAATCTCAACATTTTATGGTAGAAGGTTTTCTAAAAAAAAATGGTTGTCGAATATGAGATATTGGTATCAAAATTTGTTTTTTAATTATTGCAAAATTTCATCTACAAAATTTGTTTTTGTATCAGGATATTGAAAAAGCATGTAATGTTCAGCGTTGGACTATTATCAGAAAATTTGTTTTAAAAATATTTAGATATTCTAAATTAGATTCTATATTTAATTATTTTATTTAAAAAAATTAAATTATTTCATTTTTGTCAGGTGCTCAAGAAAGCGTTGGTTCGTAATGCATGTTCTAACGAGAAGTTGTTTTTTTTAAAAGATTGCAACATTGAAAAATGTGGACATATAAAAACACATGCAAACATAAATGAAAATTTTCAGCAATTAGTTAAGTTTGCACACCCACACAACCGAAGTGTTAAAAAAACTATAAAACTCTTAAAAAATAAACAATCAATCAACAATCAACAAGGAGTAAAAAAACACACACACAAACACACTCACACATACGCACACAAACACACACATATACGCACATACATATATAGATCTATCCAGAGAAACTAGACCATCGACTCGCATAACCATAAAAACGAACCAGAAAGCAGTTGCCTTTGTTGATGGGAAAAGATGGAATGAAATTCAGGCCGATAAAGAAGAATCTCTTGATGTGCAAAAATTCATCTGCCTGGAAACAACAGGTGAGATGGATGGCTGTTTTATCCGCTGATTGATCAGATAGATGATTATATTGATTGACTGGCAGGTTTTATGGATGATTATTAGATTTGATTGATTGATTGATTGACTGACTGACTGACTGACTGACTGACTGACTGACTGACTGACTGACTGACTGACTGACTGACTGACTGACTGACTGACTGACTGACTGACTGACTGACTGACTGACTGACTGACTGTTCACTAAAAATTAAAATTAAAATGAATATCAGATAAAAGTTGAAATAAATTCAGTAAAAACTGAACATTTTTATAATTAAAACCAACAGAGGAGAAGATGCACTTCGTTGTAGACTCGCATTCCATGAGCGGTCGCTTCGGCACTCGATTCTGCGCTTACAAGTGCACGCAGTCTGACAAAGTAGATTGGTGCGATCCCTCGCAGTTTGACGCCCAGCAGGACAAGATGGCTACCTGGGCTGGCCCTTTCACCACGCTCAAACCGGAAGTAGGTGGTCTACCAGTTAAAACACTCGAATATTCTTACAAATTATTAGCAGACTAATGTTTACTTTTTAAATTGAATTGACATCGTTTAATGAAACTAGTTTACTAAACGAATAATTTTGAAATGAGAGATAATCCTGCAATATGCAAATAACAAATGACAAGAATGTATCAACTAATGGACGCGTTCGTCTATGCGATGGTGCTAAGTATTCAATTCACGTCTCGACACTGATGGAGGATCGTGGCCTGAGCAGGTGAGAATTAGGGACTGGTGATTCAACAACGGCATCATACGACGCAGTGTGGAGCCAGCAATCGAATCGTTTTAAATAACTGACGACATTTAAATAACATTTGAATCTTGAGCTTTTGATTTATTTTGCTTGGTTTTTATGTATTTTTTTATGAACTTTTATTTTGCGTTGAGAAAACCTCGGTATTATAACGGGCGCTATATAAATGTTCAGATAATAACAATAATAATATATGTATATATATATATATATATATATATATATATATATAGAGAGAGAGAGAGAGAGAGAGAGAGAGAAAGAAACTTTGAATTGGTTAATGCTAACAATTCGGTAGAATTCATATATCTTTGCTGCAAATAAAGTATTTTAAATGGTTTGGGAAGCAATTGGTGAACAAATTTGTTTGAAGATGAAAGTTGCTGTGAGGTCTATGTTGATGCTCTTCTTATCAATAATGTCAATAACGGATTTGTATTGAAGAGAAATTTCAATAGAATAAAAAGATTGTTTGATGTGCACTTTCCGACTGTTACCTCATAATACGTTTGCATAATTAATGTGAGGAGTAATGAGAGTATCAATATTATAAATCAGGCCTGGTAAGACTCTACTGTTTAGCTCTGGTCAAACTGTAAAAATATTTAATTTTTGCTGCATATTTTATAAGTTTGTTCCACACCAGATTTTTTTATCAAAACACTTAAGAATTTGGAGATTAATTATTTTCTTACGTCTAAATCTGGTATTGTATGAGTTAGATTTTTTTTGTTCAAACGATATGTAAAAACACTTGCTAAAGTTATTTATTAATATGCTATAAGTGAACTAGTCAGCTGTTACTCAAAGTTTGTTGCATATTAGCTGAGTGTCTTCAGGGGGAATTTTGGTAGAAAAGAAGAAATGTTGTTTGTGTCATCTACCTACGAAATAAAATTGGCTGATGGGTTAGTTTGTCAAGTCATTGATTGATACAGGAAGAAGAAGAGGACCAAGTGTTGATCCTAGCGGAACTCCATTTGTTTGTGTTTTCATTAAAAATTTCCAACTTCAACACGTTGAGTTCTTCCTTTAAGGTATTTTTCGAACCAGCAATTGTTTGTTATTCTACATGCAGGTAATTCTCCAACAGTTTGTTATGATTAATAACACCAAACGCTTTGAAAAGATCAATGAAGACTTCTAGCTTCATTGTTTTTTTTCTAATTTGGACGTGACTTCTTGTGTGAAATATAATACCGCCAGCACTGCTGAATGATTTTTGCAAAAACCATATTGATTGTCGTGTATTATGTAAATTGATGAAAGATTGTTTTTGAGAGAGCACTAATAGTGATATTAGACGGAAGTTATTTAAACCAAGCTTACTGACTTCCATTCTTTAAATTTGGAATTACTTATTAACTTTAGACATTTTAAAAACAATCCGGAAAAATTCCATGAGTGCAGTTACAATTTTGTTCATTAATAATTTAATTAAATCATTGCCTGAATTGTCAGTTAAAATGCTGCTTTTATTGTTCATACCTTTGACTATTTCAACAACTTTGGTTCTATCAGTCGGGTTTAGATGTTTCGGATTATATGGAAGATTTAATATTTTCAACACTCGTCAATTCTTATGTTGATTGTTATTGTCGACAATTGAAACAATAATATACTTACTTATTTATTTATTAAATATCTCTAACCAGTGTTTTCCAGAGGCACCAAGAAGAAAGTTAACAAAATGTTTGTTGAATTCTTCTCATACTTTTGCCATTGTGTTATTAACTATGAGTTGTTCAATTGCTATTCGAAACGGTTTATCACGTAAATTTTCGTTAACATTCCAACGTTCTTATAATAATGTTCTTATAATGGAATTTTTGATTTTACAGAGTAATTTCAGCATTTGCTGGAAAGAAGTTTCTTTATTTCGGAATTGCTTTCATTTCATTTTATTTTATTTCTATTATTTTGTTTGATCAGATATTTTTTAAGATAATTTAATTTGCTCCGTTGATAACTTACCAATTGCTGAAGATACCCAGGTTTTTTAATTAAACAATCGTATGGCAAATAAGATGCAGGGTCATCAAATACGGAGTTAAGAATGTTGTGAAAAGTTGAGCTTTCTTGAGTCGTCGATTGTCGGGACTGTAGATGAAGTTCTTTTGATTAGTTTGACATTTGTTTTGTTCCAATTTCTTCTGCGAGTGATTTTGTGGGAAGTAGCTGTTAGACTTGAAATACCGGAAGTAGCAAAGATAGGGATGTGTTGATGACGAAATAGTAACACACGTGTATATTATATTAAAAAGAGCAAATAAGAGAGAGAGAGAGAGAGAGAGAGAGAGTGTGTGTGTGTGTATAATTGGTTTTGAAACGTTTTAACGTTAAATAATTCTGGTTTCTGCCATTGTAAGATTAATGTTGAAATCTCAAACTATATAAGTTTCTAGTAAAGGTTTATTCAAGTTAAAATTTATTCAAACTTATTTTGTAATAATCAATCAATCAAATAATTATTCATTTAATCAATCAATCTATCTATCTATCTATCAATCAATTAATTAATCGAGTTTAGTTAAACAAGTTCAAACAAATTGTCAATGAATTTATGCAGAAAAAAATAACTTGAATAACTTTGTCCATATAAGTTTTAAAATTAATATTTTTTTAAATTATAAATTAATAATATAGATCAACCAATTGGTCAATTTGTTCAATCAACAATTTTTTATTTGACTGATTGATGGCTGAAAAATGAAAAAACTAAACAAATTTTCAAATACTTGTAAGTATTGGCGACATACAGAACGGATATAAATAGGCGGATATGAAGAACCTCTCTGCATCCCGGCCCGGTTTCTGCCAGGCAAACTTAACAAGGCACCTCTAAACAGTGTAGCATCTGACTGCCTGGTCAATGATTCGTTCATTTCATCGTTCATTCAACCGTTTGATTAGTTTCCATCAATTAAACATTTATACATTCATTTATTTATCTACTTATTTGTTTGTTTATTTATTAATTTATTTATTCAATTGTTCACTCATTTTTATTCATTTATTGCTCAATCATTCTTACGTCCAAACATAATCTATCAATCAATCAAGCTGACATTCGTTTAATTTTAATCGTTAATTGTTTATTCATTCATCATAAGTTCTTTTTAATAGTTCACTCAATCAAACCTTTACTCTTGCATTTCTTTATTTCGTTAATTAATTTACATGCATTTCCGACCATTTATGCTTTAGATCAGTTATTTTCTCAACCGCTTATGAAGATGAATTCTCACATACAGCCATTCATTTAATAAATTCAAAAAATTAACCGATTCATTATTTGAACTTTTTATTTATTCAATAATTTTGTTAGTTCTATCATTCATATTTTCATTTGGGTCCCAATTTATTGATTCATTTAGTCATTCAATTCTTTCTTTTATTTAGTCGTTTTTTCATACGTTCCATCAATCATTTATTCATCCATTCGTAGTTTCACACGTTCCATCAATCATTCAAACTTTCTTTCCAGCACGAAAAGAACAGAGTGTTCGCGGCAGCTACAAAGAAATGTTATTGCCTCTTCGATGTCTTTGAAGGTTTCTAAAGACGCTGATCGCTGATGATGATGATGATGATGATGATGATGGTGATAATGGTAATGATAGTCATTGTGACATAATGAAAACGATGATGAATGATGATGTCGAAAACAAACATTCTTACACAGCCTCTATCACTTACGTTGCATATTTCCAATTTCAGTTTTAATTTTATTCAACCAAAAGCTGAAGCATACTGGCCTTATATCTGTAAAGCCAGAAAATAAAATGAAACGTTATCAAGTTATAAACTGTTCAAAATTAAAACCAAAGTGAATTAATATTAAATAATGGAAAATAATTGTTAAAAATTGACAGCTAATAAAAAGTTGTTTCAAATAGTTGATACCTTTTAATTAAAAACATCAATTTATAAATTTAAAAAAAAAATTAAAATTCTTTTTTCAAAATATTCAAGTTATTAAATGATTTAATTTTCTATGGCAGTTTATTGAAAAGTTTTAAAATAATAATTTGAAGGGCTATTAAAATATAATGTCGTACGAGGAATAGAAATATACAAATGTTGATGGTTTCATCCTTCCTGCTCGAATAGTATGATCTTTGATGATATCATCGAAACAGCGAAAATTTTGCTTCATTGTTGAACTGTACGACGTTAATATCATAGTTGGCGATGCTGATGTACATTTCAGTTATTGATTTAGTATTTGTTATCTTGAAAAGATGTCTGGTTCTATCAAATTTTTTTAGTCCTAGCAAAACCTGCATGCATTGCTTTTTATGTTTTTTTTAATGGTTTGGGTATGAGAATTAGAACTTTACACCAATACAAGTAGTATCAATGTATAAGTGTTATAAGGATATTACTGGTAAAGTGTACTTGATGCGATTCATAATTCTCAGACTTTTTGATATTTCACAAAAAATATAAGTAATGTGCTCCAACCACGTAAGAATGCCAAAAATGACGATGCCAAGATATTTTGGGGATTATACCCGTCTAATCATTTTATTCATCATCAACAATTTGAAGTCTAATGAATTTTTTACAATCTTTGGTCTAAATAGCCTATAACAAGTTTTATCATAATTAACAATCAATCTATTTGCATCAAACATTTTTTAAATGAAATTTAGTTCCAAACTCATTTCCATCACTATTGCTTCAATATATTTTGGCCTTTCAACATTACTGTGGTGTCATCTGCAAACTGTATGAGTTTGAGTTTTTGAGATGAATTTGCCATCTCATTAAAAAATACATTGAACAACATTTTTTCCAAAATAAAACCCTGGTTCAACTTCTGACCAAATTCCATGCGCAATAACACATTGAACCCTTCCAGACAGACAGATAGCTTTGAACCACCCCAATACCAGACCTCTCACACCACCGCAGGACTGTTTACCCAATAAAATCCCATAGTCGATCAAATCAAGAGCTTTTGACAAATAAAAAACAGACAAAGTCGAATCGTTACGGTCAATATCATCAGCAATATAATTTGTTAGGTCCAACGCTGCTAATTCCATTAAAGAATTTTTTCTAAACTCACATTCATTTGGTGAAAGTATGCTTTGTTTATTCATAAGGCTTAGTAATCTCTTATGATAAATATTTTTTATTGCTTTTGAAAAAAAACAGATATTAAAAAAATTAGTCTATTTTTATTTACCTGAGTATTTTGAACTTTTCACAAATATTTGGCCAATTTCAAAATTGAAGGCACTGATCCGATTTTAAATGACAGGTGACGGGGAAGGTAAAAGGAGAAATTATAAATGCAATACGTTTGTTCAATATTAAATTAGAAATATTATTATGATCCCACTAAAAAATTGTAATTAGTACATCTTTATCTGTATCTAAAAAAAACTGAAAATGTTGGGGAAAGAAATACTGACAAATCTGTATTTGACATCGCGTCACCCACTTTCGTATTGTTGACGGAAAAGCGATTTATGAAAAACTTACTAAGTCACATTTATCAGTAACTAAAGCGTTGTCTTATTTGATGATCATTTTTATCATCAATCTATTTGCAATTTTCAAGTTGGATTTTATTATAAAGCATTGCCTTTTTTATCTAAAAACTTTTTTAAAATAATCTTTTTCAACCTGTCTGCATTTTTTAGCGATTAAGTTCTTTTATCGTAGATTGTTATTTTTGTTGTGTTGCGACGGGTATGTTTTCCAGATTTAAAATAGTCTAATTTTTTGTGCAGATTTTAATAAACTTTCCGTAAACCAAAGTTGTTTCATTCGACTTGCCTTTCGATGAAAAAATGGGCAATGGTGGTTGATTGCATCATCAAAAATCTTTAGCAAATAAGAAAAACCCTAGTCGTTATCAGTGCATTCATAAATATTACTCCAATCATATGAGAATAAAAACTAAATTAACAAACATATTTTTTCCTAATCTAATCAACATTTAATTGTCCGCTTTTCAAAAAATTCACAACAAAGATCAAAAGCGTTAAGACAGCCTATCAACGCTAAAACGCCGTAAAATTGCAGAAGCATTTATTTTGATCGTAGGATGAACCCTGTTATGGTTGAAAAATGTGCAAATAGGATAATGATATTATTTGACGGTTTGAATAACAAAGGATTTATGCAACATCATATTAAGCATGATAAAACATTTAAGCATGATTGAACAAAAAAGCCTTTTTCAGTATTCATATACCATCTTCGGTGTTAAAATAAATAAAAATTTTGGTTTTGAACTCAAGAAGCTTGACAATGATTTAAGATCTGCCGTTAAAAAAATCGAAAAATTAGACAGGAAGTTAACTAAAGCGGAACATGCTGCAATTTTCATCTATAAATAAATTTCTGAGTGTCTTATTAAAATATATATATATATATATATATATATAATTCTAGTAAGGAGAATTGAAACAACAAACTTTAAATTGATTAATGTCAACAATTCGGTAGAATTTATACAATACCTTGTAAAATTTTGTCTCCTTCTAAGGTATATATATATATATATATATATATATATATATATATATATATATATATATATAATATATACTATTTGGAAACTTAAAAAGCGCCGATTATGACACTTACAATGTTCTCATAAGCGCTGTTACTAATTTATAAAAGAAGCAAGTTTTTAAAATTCATATTCGAAACAAGTGTGTTTTAAATTCCCTCTTGAACTGACCCAGTGATAACCCAGTTTGACGCAAGCAACAAGGAAGAGCATTTCAAACAGATGGACCACTTACAAAGAAATTACGTGAACCAATCTTAAGGAATTGGAAAGGAATTGACGAATTGGAAAGGGTCCAGAAACGGGCAACCAAGATAGTCAGGGATTGCAAAGGCCTTTGTTACTCGAATCAATTGAAGTTTCTTGGTTTGCCAACTTAAAGATTTAGAAAAGTTCGTGAAGACATATTAATGATTTTCAACATTGCGAAGGGTATGGTAGATAGAGATTCCTCACCAGCTTTGTGTTTTGATGCGGATCCAGGTACCAGAGGGCATCGCTATAGAATACATGTTCAAAAGTTTTATACAAATACAAGAAAATATTTGTTTTCTAACAAAGTGATCTTTATTTGAAACAATTTACCGACATGCGTTGTTGAATCAGATACTGTTTCCAACTTCAAGAAGAATTTTGACTTATATATGGCCAACAAAGATTTTTTCAATGATCATAAAATTGACATTGTTGTTTGATTGCTTTTTGTTGTCTTTTAATGCTGTTTTGATATCAGCATATATAACTTACGTTTAAGCCCATTATTTATTTTTATTTTATTTTAATTTTATTTTAAGCTTGGTCACAGTTGTGACCAACGTATTAGCACTACTTGATCTCAAATCATAGTCACTCAACACCTTCATTGTTTGCAAACATCTATCGGCCAAATATTTGGGTGCCAAATTGTTCAGACATCTAAAAACCATAACAGCAATTTTAAAAATAATTCTCTTATGAATAGGCAGCCAGTGGAGGCTGCTTAAAACTGGCGTTATATGGTCACACCAGCGACTATATATATATATATATATATATATATATATAAAATATCTATATATACTTATTATATATATATATTATATATTATATATATATATACTTAACATGTGGGAATATATTTTGGTGGTATACAGCCAAATATTTAATGGACAGACTTTTTGTAGCTCAAAAAAGGTTTTTACGAACCCTTTTTTCATTACGCAAACTTGAGCATACAAAACCTTTATATACTAGATCTTAATGTAGAATGTAGAACAACCAAATATTTATCAAACAGTAATATTTTTTTATAAAAGCCGAAACAATGGCAAGCTTAAATTATTGAAGAGTAGAACTGTAATAAATGATAGGCATTTGGCCGTGCGTGACATAAATCTATTGAATGGGTTATGTCATGACGTTATTGATGTGAGCAACTTAAAAGCCTTCAAAATTTCACATAGAGAAGCTGTTATCAATGTTAATTAATTGTATACTGTTTTTTATTTCATTGTTAATCTAAGTATGAATGAATGCACCAATACTATCTGAGTTAAGTTGAATGGACATATTTCTAAATCTGGTTATGCGACTTTATTCGATTTAAATGTTATTAATTCCTATTTTTATGCACGTAGTTACGGTAGCCTGCACAAGCTTGCTTTTTTGATTGCCTGTTTAATTTTTTTGACGAATAAACAATTTTTGGAAGAGAAAAAATATACTTCTTTAAGCTTATTTGTAAAGATTATATGAAATGTGTTTGTCTTCCACAGCCGAACAAGTGTTGTTGGACAAGTTTTGTGAGGTACAAAAGCGCCCAAAAGAAGTTATTATTTTTATTTAAGTATAAGAATAATAATATTAATAATTATTTGTTGCTGTTATTATTGTTATTATTATTATTATTTATTATTTGATTAAATAAAAACAAATAAATAACATATTCGTTTGATTGTTTTTATTTATTGTTGTGGTTGTTATTCCTTTGTCGTCGTCGTTGTTGTTTTTTGTAGCAGTTGTTGTAGAGGTTCACATCTCAGTTGAGTTACCCTACAATCCGCAAAAAATATCAATTAGTAATTTAACAGCGATAAAATTCTTCCAGTTCTTCCTTCCAATCGTATCTGATTCTCAGATCTGTCATCTGTGTGTATTGGGTCCACAGTTTTATACTATTACCTTGCATGCCGTAACAGTTTCTTTGTTTGTCAGATTCTGGTTTTTTAAAGAATAATAAAAAAAACGGTTCCATATTCTTCACTTCTGTTCCAACACAATCTGCATACTGCTGTATTACTGAGGCCGATTCTAAGCATATAGTTTCTCAGTTCCGGATGATATCCTGAGCGGAAGCAAATGAGATTAGTAAGTTCTGCTTTGTTGAGAAACTCTTCTGTCTTCAACAATGGTCGAACGTATACGGCCTTACATCTAGGTTGAGAGATTTTCCTGTGATTACATAGTTCTTCAGATATCAGCTGTAGCATCTTTTTTTGACTTATAACTCTCTGACCATCCACATGTCGAGATATTTCGCATCTTTATCTGCCTTATCCATGATAAGACTTCTTTTTTGTTCATTGTCAATTCGTTCAGATCTTTAACGACTTGTTCTGATGTTGTTGTTGTGATTGCTGATGTAATTTATTTTTATTATTATTTCGAAGTCTATATTTTGTACAAGAAATAACCAAACCAGTTTTGTTTCTTCAGTGTTTTATGCACTTATCAACTGATCTTTTTTTCATTAATTTTCTCACTGTTTGATATTTTTAATTTGAAATTTTTTTAAATAAGTCGCAAAGAATCTCTGAGATCAACAAAAAAGCAGAAGATGATCAAAGATCTGTTGATGCCCAAAAGGAAAAAGATTCACAAAGTATTTTTTCACTTCTATTACTTTTTTCAGTGCTTAACATTTTTCTTATGAACGGTTTTAATTATATTATTATAAACAATATTTGCGTTGTGCTGTAATATATAAATTTAAAATAATTTAGAAATCGTTCTACGTTTCATGGAGTTATTGAGGTTTGTAAATATCGGACCTTTTCAGTCTCCAGCGTGATGGCCACAGTGACGCCGGCATCGAACTCCTACATTGTGACCGACTGCCTAGGCTGGTACACGCCTGCCGGGCTCGCCAACACCATACCGATAACCGGCTTCTTTGGAATCGAACTTCATCCGACTCGAGTGGATGAGCAGAAGTTCATCTTCACGTCAAACAACATGGCTGTCTTCGGGGTTTGGATTTGCACCGACCAGTATCCCAGCTACAATTGGACAATATACGAAGTCAATTTGAACGCACTTTTACAGGTTTTTCACCTTTCCTTCAATTTTTAGTTATAAAAATCTGTCTTGTTGATTTTTGTTGTTGAAAATTTGTAAATCAGAATGAATAATTTACTCTCTCAAAATTTATTTTTTAATTTTATATCTACCTTCAATAGCTATTAAAAAAGAGTATGAAACGTCATGGAACAAACAAATTGTACTTAATTGTATTATACATATGATATGACCACGTAATGATGCATTTATTAAAAACAACCATTTAAATAACTGTTATATTTTAAGGAAAAGTATTAATTTTAATATTATAGAAAATGAATGTATATCATGCAAAGAAGTTGATTAAACAATTGATACATCTTAAAGAGAAGTATAAATTTCAAAATGAACGAAAGAAAAGGCTCCCTCTACTTTGCTGTTGATGACCAGTTTTATGAGTCTTTTTACTGCTTCACGAAGTTTAAAGGTGGTTAAAATACAATAATTGGACGAGGAAGTGTTTATTTATCGGTGATTGTTGATTAGTAATTATGCAAATTTTTCGTGAAATCTTTGATATATAATTATATATATATATAATCTTTATATAAGATATATATATTATTAGCTATATATATATATATATATAAATTATTAAAACATTTCATTTTTTGACATATTAATAAAAATAAAACTATAATAGCATTTAAAAACATTGTAAAGTTTAGTTATTTCTAAGATGAAACTGGTTTGAAAATATATTATATTTTCAAATTAAAACTTGATAAATAAATTGTTTTACAACATAATGTTAACATGTTTCAGTTAACAACATTTCCTGCATTGGTGCTCGTAATACTGTGATTTTAGTTAATTATTTACTTTTTATATGATTATTTATTTTGTTTTGAAGATACTGAGCTTTTGAAGCCTTATCACCCACCCACCGCGTTTTACCAACCAGGTTGTAAAAATATATTTAATATATATACATATATAGATATATATATATATATATATATATATATATATATATATATATATGTATGTATTTACAATATTCTATAAATTCTACCGAAACCATATAAATATATATATATATATATATATATATAAATATATATATATATATATATATATATATATATATATGGTTTAGACTATCACAAATAAAAATCAACCATAACTTTAATCTAAATGAAAATGAGTGTATAAACAAAAAACCCTCAGAGCCCCACTACGACGTGGTGAACATCGATTCGAGTTGCAGCGTCACCCTGATGTTGGACGGCGTGAAGTTGCACCTCAGTGATGATTTGAAAAACAAAGACTTCAAGGTCTACAACAAGCTCTGCTTCCATGTGGATAGCGCTGGCCAGAGTAGTTCTCTTTATTACGTCCCATTTCACTGACTCACGTGACGACTGCTGTTACTAATATTACTACTACTACTACTACTACTACTACTACTACTACTACTATTACTACTACTACTACTACTACTACTACTACTACTACTACTACTACTACTACTACTACTACTACTACTACTACTACTACTAGGAGTAGTAGCAGTAGTAGTAGTACTACTGCTACTACTATTACTACTCTTATTATTTATGCTAATAATAGTACCACTATTTAATACTACTACTACTTATTATTGTTATTATTATTATTGCTGTTGCTGTTATTTTATATTATTATTATTATCACAATTATTTGTTATATTACCTCAAATATTAATACAACACTAATAATGATGTTAACCAGAATCACTAGCTGTAATTGTCTGATTGATAGCATTTGAATTAGTAAGGAGCAATTTAAACAAGAACCCTAATGAACGAATGAAAATGCAACTGACAGGCGGTTGTCAGACAGCCATCATCGACAGATGGACTGGATTTTTCGAGAGTGGATGCCTCTGGCACTGCAGCAGCGTGTAATTAACGTCACTTATTTCCTTCAATTCACATCATTTGATCGCCTCATTTCATTCCAATTGTTTGACATTTAATAATAACAACAAGCACGACTTGCGTGTGCATCAACATCGCACAAATGAAGTGCACAAACTGAATATAAGAATGACCTTGAACTTATCAGAAAAACACGCGTATGAACAAACATAAAACGTCATCGGCAGAAACACAGATTTGGACTACTGCACAACTGACGATCAGTCTCACGAGACTTGGGAACCGGCGGTCATCAAGCATGTGGATGATATCGAGATGTGGGGCGTCAAATTTTTGAAGAAATACATTCGAGTTAGTGATCCAAACGCTGGGGTCTACATGTGCGTCAGGTCACTGCCCATTAAAAAGCGACTGCTAGGTTGGTTGGGGAAGAAATTTATTTATTGTAAGGATTGAATTGCGCAAATAGCATTTCGATCGGCTATAATACGTATGATTTTTTATTCACTCGTTTTTTGGCTTTGATTTTAATTTTTTTGTGTTTGATTAATTTTACACTTAAACAATATAGCTGTTTTTATTTTCCTCGTTTGATTTATCTGATTCGACGTGACGACGCACACCTCAGTTATGCACTTATCTTATATTAGTTTAATTATTATTTAACTTGCCAGGTGCTGCCGTTGAAAAAGGTGAAGTTTTGTTTTTAAAACAAATTTCGTTAGCTATTTAGCTTCCTATTTATAATTGAACTGTTTTCAAAAGTCTGTTTATCAAAGATTGCTTGGAAGGTAATGTTCATTTATAACTAATCGCTAAAAACTAAAAAATTAATCGTCCAATTTATTTTATCTTACCCCCATTATGAAAGGGTTTTTATTATTTATCTGTATTACGCACAATAATAAACGCTTTTTTAAAATAACTTGAAAAATTATGAGCACAGGTAACAAAAATCATAAGCACATATCTGTGGGTTTCTGAAATTACATACAACTTTATCCATCAAAAACCATCTGAATAATAATATGAATGCCAACTACAAAACGGACGAATCATTTATACAAATGTCAAACTTACTAACCCTTCCGACAAAATAAAACTACAAATTTATTATAGGAATGCAAAGACATCAAACATTGTCATGAACAACAACTGCACTCTTCAACATGGTTCGGCTTTAAAACGTAGCCATCTGATACACGAATTTACCTGTCCCCTTGATGTCAGAATGTTTCATATATCAGAGTAACTACAACATCGCAAACTAGACGTCTGACCATGCACAAAAGGGAAGGTTCTATAAAAACACATCAAGAACATGCACGTAATATTGAAACTACAAGAGAAATCCTAGACAACAACACCAATATAATATATTGTAATTTCAGCCATTCCCATCTGAAATTAGCGAAGCTATTCTCATCGACATAAAACAACTTCTAATAAACGAACCACAAAATATTTTAACAATACTCACGACAACAAAGACAGTAATAAAATACACTAATAACATCAATGATACCAATGAAGACACCGAAGAAAGTAACACCGACCAAAATGCTATCAAAGAACAAGTAAATGATACTAATAAAATTAGCACAATAAAACAACACCAAAGCAATAAAAAAGTAATCAATAAAAATAACACCAAAGTAATTAGCCGGAACAAAGACACCATATCAATTAGTAAAGAAAACAGTAAAATTAACATAGTCGCTGATAACAACAACTACTAATCCCAGGAAAAAAGGCCTGGGTTATACAAATTTTCAATATCATCTACAACAAGGGCTTGGTTATACAAATTCTCCTGTATAAACTGCAATGTGTGCTGAAGATGATTGAAAACTCAAAATAAGTCCTATACACTCGAGAATGAACTGGAAAGCTGTATATTATTTTAACTTTAATAAAATAAATAATGATGACAAGAATTTGGCTAGAAATATTGACAAATGTAATAAAAAAAACTATCCAACGGTAGAAATTCGGTAGATTTCATAAATTACTATATTAATTACTTTAAACCAAAACCAATTACTTCATTGATTTGCCTTTTTTTGTCATTGCTTTATTTTATTGTCAATACTTTTCATGTTTAAACATTTTTCTTTCTCCGTATTTTATTTATTTACTTATTCGTTTAATTTTATACTACTGTCTTGTATGCCGCAACAGTTTCTGCGCCTGTCAGATCCTGATCATTCTTCTTCTTAAAACTTTATTAAACTTACTACTGAATCTTTTTATCTATTTACTCCCATAAATCTTTTAGAACTTATTAAAATTATTAATTCTATGACAATAGTAATTTATGACTAACGCATAAATTTTTTATGTCTTCTGGCAATTACAACGAAAGTCGTGAAACTTGTATTCCCTGAACTAACGCATAAATTTTTTAATTGATTTTTTAATAAATCAAATCATAAATTGACGCCCAGACCTTTCTAATACAATGAAAGCGACAACAAAAGTTCGCATAAAGACAGAACATAATGCCATGGCGATGAAGGACAGCGTAACGATCGACACTCAGGGTAATGTCTTCCATGATTTGGAACTCCACGAACGCATCTGCATCGAAGGTTCAGGTTAGTTTTTCTGCTGGTGTCGGACTGATGTCAAGTAACGAAGATGATGTTTGCGATGATTGTCGTTCTCACGGTTATGATGATGATGATTGTGTTAATACATTTTATTTCTTTTTTATTAGCTTGTTTTCTACTGTGTGCGATGGTTCCTGAATTTAATTTTAAACATTATTGTGCATTTTGGCTTGAGGTGTGTTACAAATTTTAACAAAAAAATGTTTCAGAGGTTAACATTTCTACTGCACTTTCATCATCGCAAAATTTAAATATTCACACTTTTCAATTGCAATCAAAATTAAAACTTTGTTTTCAAAAAAGCATTCTAAATGAACAGTTTCACAAAGCATTAAATTGTTATTTTAGTATCTATATTAATAATAACATTAAATTTAGTTAAAATAGACTTTTTTACTGGTGTTGAAGAAAAATAAAATGTAATAATAATATGGACTCGCAAATAACTAAATTGTAATACGTCGTAAAACAAATTTAATACAATGTTAACTTTCGGTATACTGAAATCCGCCAATCTCTACTTTATTTTCTTCTTAGCCAAAACATTTTCGAATTCCTTGGCAAACAGAAGGAATGAAATTCAAGGTAGACTCGATCGACGGGAGGTTCTCCACTCGTTCCGGTTGTTTTCGCTGCACAACAACAGATGAACAGTTTTGGTGCGATCAGGCACACTTCAGCAATAATGATAAGTTCGCGATGCCAATTGAAGATTCGTTCGAGGGTGATGAAAACGTTGAGGTTGGTTGGATGGTTGGTTGGATTTTGGTTTGCTAACTAATTGGATGGCAGATGGATTAGATGGCTAACTAGTTGGTAAACTGTTTGGCTGGTTGGTTGGTTGGTTGGTTGGTTGGTTGGTTGGTTGGTTGGTTGGTTGTTTTGTTTAATTTTTTGGTGTTAGTTGTTGCTAGCTTTTCTGACGTTAAGCCGATTTAATTAATTTCTCGCGATTAAACTAAATTTTAGATTTGTATTTTGAATTTGTCTACATTCGGACTAAATTATCACTTTAATTTTTGAATTTTGAAACATTAAACTTTATGGAACCAACCCGGCAGAACATGTTGCTGTATCAATGGCAACAACGTGGCAGCATTTCGTCTATCTACTTCCACCGGAAAGACATCCTTTGTTTGCGTATCGATGCTTCCAATAACCCAGCGTGCCCTAACTGGGCGTGCATTCTGGTTCCTCGATCTCTTTGCATATGAGATGTAGCTTTCATCTATCTGAACAATGTGTCCGAGGCCACCTATTCGTGCAGGGTTATCATAAGCCCAGTCCATACATAAATCCCGATGTAAATTGAACCAGTCTGGTAACGTGCTCCTGACGTTCAAACCTAAAAGCGCCGCAACCGTAGTCTGGCTAACGTCATTCATAGACCAGAAAAACGTGACCTGTTATATTAAATTTAAAACAACTTGCATCATCATTTTTAAACAAATGAAATTTATTTATAAAAAAATAAAAAAATCTTAAACCAAAATACAATTTGTCAGCGACTGTTGGCTACGGCTGTAGAAACTTCCATGACATTTACAGACTTGTCATCAATTTTGTTGTGCTTGTTTATTACGTGAAAGTGAACTGTAGCCGTACTACTTTTAAAATATTTTGCCTTCTACCCGCTGGTGATACACTGACGTAAAAACAGGCATAAGGGCATCTAAATCAAAAAACTTCCGGAAAATGTTCAATTAGTGAACCGGATGATTGTAGACTAAAACAATGTGAAAAATGTCACCAGGGTAATTTGGTATGTTTAGCAAGTCTCGAGACCAAATTAAAAGATTTCAGCATATTCAGAGATAATTTAAATGAAAAAAGAACACGTTGAGTACTGTGTCCAAAGATGAGACATTCAAAATGCTTTTAGACGAGTTATCAGACTCTCTTAAAAGCACCACAAAAAAACTGACAATGGAACTATCCAAAAGAAGCCGAGCGGCAGATAACTAACTGTCAGAGTTAAATATTTTGAACAACAATGTAAATGAAATAGACAAAGTACTAAATAAAAATCTTGAAAACAATTGGGCCGGTTTTAAAAATACAAAAAAAATTCATACTTTTCCAAAGTCAAAATTGAAAGATTAATGACAGACACGAGGTCTATTTAAAACTCAGTCACAAAAACTGTCAAAATTATCATACAGAACTAAAGATATTAAAAAAAAACAATATGGTAATTTTTAATCTGGATGAAAACAATGGAAACTCTAAGACTAATAATAAAGAAACAGCAATGGAATTACTGAAAACCATTTTGCCAGATCATGATTTATCGAAAGATAAAACAGACATTTTCAGATTGAGCAAACGTACCGAACAGCCGCAAAAACACAGACCCATATTAATTACATTTAATAATTCAAGTATTAATAGTTTAATTTTTGGAAAATGTTACAAATTGAAAAAATATATGAAATTCAAAAAAACAATAATTTATCAAACAATTCTAAAAAGAATAGAGAGGAATGTAAAAACCTCATAGCATTTTGTGGCTTCGAATTGCACCAATCTCCAGTTATTTTAAAATATTGTCTCTATAGTGGTGATTACGTAAATTTCAATAGATGCTTTTCTATAATGTTACCAAAACTGCTGAAAAAAGTCAACAGCTGAAGAAAGCTGGAATTTGTTTTAACAAAAAGGTTTGTTCTTTTTAAAAACATTGGAAAGTATTTCACTTTTATAATAACCCCTGAGTTGCACAGGCTCATTAAACTCAAATATTTTTACTGGAGAAGAACATACACGCTTGGAAAAAACGAATTGATGTTTTACCGTCAAGCTGGAAAGAACATAAAAAAATTAACCAGATTTATTAAAGAAAGAGAAGCTGAACGAAATAGCCTCACTACAAAATAGACCCAAAATTGTTTGAAAAACATTTTAACAATGTTATTCATTCTAGATATAAGGTCAACCTTTTAATTCATAACGGTGTTTTAGTTATATAACAGAGGTAGTAGGAGCTCTGTCGCCAATTATAGACCAGTGGTCTTGACATCAACGTCCTGTAAAATTATAGAATCGATTATGGTTGAACAAATAAAAAACGCATTCAAAAATAATTTATTTTCTCATAGACAATATGTATTTATTCCATCTCGATAAACAATCCTGCAGCTGCTCTAATTTATGGATGAGCTCACACAAGCTATAGAAAATGGTGATGCAGTTGACGTGCAGAGGCGTCATTTCAGATTTTGGTTGGGGGGGCGAACTTATGTGGTCTATGACTTAGCATGTAACACATATATATATATATTGAACGCGACAGTTAATATGGCGACAACACAACGGTTTTTTTTAAACAGAACATGAATTATGTAGGAACAAATGAAATAAATTGTATAGTGCTTGACATATAAAAATTCAAAAAGCACAATATTTTGTATATATAATTATAATAAATTATATAATTTTATATAATTATTTTATAGTGTTTGCAATTTAGAATTTTGATTTCTTGGGGGGATTGCCCCCTCTGCCTCCCCCCAAATGACGCCTCTGTTGACGTGGTCTACACTTACCTTGAAAAAGCTTTTAATAAAGTGCTGCACAGTAGACTACTATTCAAATTAAATAACTACAAAGTACATGAAAAATCGATATTATGGATTTAGTCAATCGCACGTTCCAGGTTAAATTGAATGGTCATTATTCAGATTCATTGCCAATCGCTAGTGGCTCGCCTCAAGGTGGTTCACACAGTCCCCTTCTGTTTATTTCTCTTGGGTTTGATAGATTCAAATATCCGCCCGTCGTTGTTCAGACACTATTTTGCTTCCTCTAGGGGCCATAAATTAAAGCTACGTGCATATATTGCAAGAAAACATTGCAGGAAGTATTTTTTCTCAAACAGAGTTGTTCAACCATGGAACGATTTTCTAGAGGAAGTTGTAAATGCTCCAAATTTATATCCCTTCAAATTGTTATTAGACGCTTTTTATGGAAATAGGTTGTTTGGTCTTCATTTTTAATTTATTAATTTCTGGTTGAGTATTTTTAATTTCCTGTACACATGTAATTGATTTTTTCTTGTTACTTTATAGATATTAATCAACGTTAACAGTTTTTAAAGTTTAAGTCTTCATCTTTCATCTTAGGTTTCGAAATGATCTGTTAACTTTCATTTTCTTAATTGTTAAATAAGTAACTATTTTATTTCTTTAATTTTGGTCGTTTATTATAAATTGTTGGCCAGGGGCATGCCTAAGCCGTTTTTTAAGTAAATAAATTATTAATTAATAGTCGGCTATAAACAGATGTTTTTTTTTGTTTTTTATTCAGACGATTGATTACATAAATTAAATTTAGCTGGTTTTCTTAAATAAGTTTTGATATTTGAAACAAATTAATTGCTTGGCTGAGCTGTTGATTGTAAAAATGAAAATAATAAATCGGCAACGTGTTTTATGCTGCATGAAAGTTAGATGAATTATATTATTTATCAGTTCATTTAAAGTAATAGTTACACTAAATTTCAAACTGAAAACTGACTAGTATAACTATTTTTTTAAATCAAGAATTCAGGCTGGCCATTAACAGTTAGTATGACAACGAAGAAATGTTACTGCAACCTCCAAGTTTTTAAAGGTTTGCCTCCTCATGGTCTAATGTAGCAGATGCTCTGCAGTAAATATTATGATTAATGAACTTTTTTTTGGCTCGTCAGCGTCTACACGGACCTCTGAGTCACGTTGTTAGAAACAAAGTTGCAACAAATATTTTGAATAAAAATTTTTCTGTGATATTTCATTCATTCACCAGCACTGTGCATGATTACCGGTGCGAACAGCTTCTACAACACTAATTACATTTTTTATTTAATTTTTGAAATAATTTTTTTAATATTTACCTTTCAAATAACTTTTTGCTTTCATTCAGCGGAGCAGGGCATCGTAGAGAGGTTCCTGAGAAGGCATGATACAACGGCTGCCGTAGTGCAAACCACACCTGCTCCGGCGGCAGTCGAAACTGTACCGACGATAACTGAAAAGATTGTAGAACGTACTGAACCACCGAAACCAAAGAAGAAAAAAATTCTCATTATAAAGGAAGTCTTAAGACTAGAGATTGATAGGCTGATGGAGATGATAAGAATGTCAAGAAAATCTTCTAGGAAGCCTTCAAAACCGGTCAAAGAAAGGAAAAATCAAAAATGTTTTTTTTCGGCACAACATAAATTGAACTGCGATAAAGAGAAATCAATCGAACGACATGAAAGATTAGAAAAAAGAAAAGCAAGAAAGTTCTTCAATTACGTCAGAGGTTACTTATTTAACTCTCAATGCATGGGTAGTTTGTGTAATTCATTATATAATTATTTTAAATAGTTAAAATTATTTATTATTTTCAGATATGATTTTAATCATATTCTCAACATGCGGTTTCGGTGCAACAGTTGGATTCCTTGCTGCCAGTAACATGAAGTTTCAATTATTTCTCACTTATTTATCCATTTATTGTGGATTATTGGTGTGTATGAACATAATTTTCTTGCTCAGTTTGTATCATTGAAAACATTAAAATGCATTCATATGCGTTAAATTTTTCCATTCCAACAGGAACGTACCTGACGCATGAAATAAGTAAATATTCATGTCTATACAAATAAAACTTTGATTTTATCATTGGCAAGTAATTTTATAAATTATTTGTATAAATAATTTTTAAATATATTAATGAATATTAATAAATTTTACTGAAAATTCAATGATTAAAAACCTTTCTAAGGCAAAAAGTGGGAGTCGCGTCGGAGATCACAAGGTAGCCGTTGAATACAGTAACATTATTAAATACAATACCATTGAATACAATACCATTATGTTATGAGCAGTTTGTTATTAAAAGCCAAAAAAAGACCAAAATCTAGCAAAAAATATCGTTAATCACGCTACCACAAATCTTGGCCCCCACCTCGGTAAAAGTTTAGCCCTCCTCATGAAAAATAATACATTATCAAAATTTTGGCTTCCCAACAAAGTTGTCTAGATTCGCCGCTGGGCATAGGTAACATATCTTCAACTTTATACACCTTAAATCTTGCTCAGTATTTAAGCATTACACTAAAACTAAACATTCCTCACTCTCCAATCTCAATTCTTAGGTATAAATTTTTACCCGTCTCTCACTTTTAACTATCATAAAAGCTTGTAATTACTACTTCTGAATTAAAAGTTTTCAGCGACGCTACTATCAGCGGGACATCCAACTTATTATTAATAACTGATGTTTTAAAATCTATAGTTTATTATTCGTAACCCCATTTGAGCGTTCACCGATAAATGTGTATTGATGAAAATAAATAATATCACTTTTTATAAAAATATAATTTTGTTTAGATTTTGAAATATGGAAATATAAATTTTTTATATTTACACAGAAAAACAGAGACAAAAAAGTTGGTGCAGCGTATTTGGTTGTTTTACTAATATTATTTTATGATCGTGTTGGGCTCGGACCAAATTTTGCGGTTTTCTGTAAATGAAATTTAAAATGAGTAATATAATTAACATGTATAGATATATCATTTTTTAAATGTCACGTTTTATTCAAATTTTTTTTTCAAGTGTGAAATTAAATTATTATATTATATCTTATAAAAGTTTAATTTTTTATAATCCAGGTTCTACGAGAAAATCATTACCAGCTCCATGATAGCCCGAAAATATTAATGATGATAATATAATTATATAATTAATTATTATAGCTCAACAATAGTAGTAATATTATTATTATTGTTATGGTTGTTGTTGTTGTTGTTTTTGTTGTTGTTTTGTGAGTTGACATTGTTCTAACAATAATTTCAGATAAAGTTGCTATCCAAACCATCAAAAAGACAACTTTGAAATTTTTAGTTTCTCAAATAATTAACCTAATATATTTGTAAAAACAAAATGTTTCTTAAAAAATTTATTTATTTCAAAAATTGAACGTATAGCAAAATTAAGTTTTTGAGATGCTGCAATAATGAATAACCGCACGTTCTGCATTTAGTTGAATGTAAAAGAATTATTTTTAATTACATTAGGAAACAATTTTATGCAGATGTTTAAAACCTTAATTTTTCATATATTAATTTACTTAAAAAATTTAGCCTAACAAATTGCCTTGAACAAAAATTTTTATGACAATGTAACCGAACTTTTATATCAAACCGTTTCTCCATTTTAACATTCTTAATCAAAAACCATCCACGGATCGTTGATTCAATTCTTGTCTGACTTTCATGCTGTTATTTTGTTAAGAATAACTGTGTTTTAAAAAATGTTCAGATGTTGATTTGTTGTTCAGATCATTTTTATTTAATGGAGGATTTAATTAAAACGATTGTTGTTGTCCTGCAAGCTTCTGGTCTGTCCATAACTTATGCCGAGGTTCCAGACTTTGCACTTCAGTTGAAGGTGATAGCTGCTCTAGCATTCGTGCCAGTTCAAAATGTGAATGGCGTTTTCAACGAATTGTTTGATAGTGACTACTATATCGATCACATTAATCTACTACAACCAGCTGCTGATTATTTCGAGGACGTTTAGACTGGACGACCCGACAGAAGAGGCATTCGTCGGCAGCCAATGTTCAGTCACAACCGTTGGAACTGCTTCGAACGCAGTTTTATGGTTGCCATCGACGATTTAATTAAGTAGTTGGAACACATCATCTAACTCTATGAAAATTAATTGATAGCTTGAGAACTGAGCAGAAGTACAACCAGGTAGTATCGAACACCTCATTCATGGTCGACAACTGCCCACCAGCAATAAAATCTACAGAGATGTTTCGGTCAGAATCGCGGCAGCTGTTGGCAACTATGCCATGATTAATAATATCAATATTAAATTTCAATGTTTAGAATTTATGGAACCCTGCATGTGTTCATGCAAAAATTTTCATTTAAATTTTGTACAGACCAGCGATCACTTATTTTTGTTCGTTTTGTTGACCGTGTTTTCGAATTCAGCGCAGTATGTACATGGAATTTCAAACCTAAGAGTAACGGCGACATTTGTAACCTTTCTACCTTATAACGGCCTCATTGTTTGGTGATCTTAATGTCAGGCGGTCTCAATGCTTGGCGACTTAACGTCCGCGGTCTTTTGCTGGCAATCTTTTCACCTAGATTCGAAAACGATAAGCGGCTTGAGACAATTCATTAATTCAGAAATCTCTGCTAGCAAAGTTTTTTCTTGTAAATTTTCTCCCGTATTGGATGTTATTGAACATCTCAAAAGGATCAATGTCCCGCTACTCAGCTTTGTAAAGAGAAACAACAAAGTTCAGCTCGATGACTCCCAGCCAACCACTTCGTTTGGACTGGGCATCGACGATAGATATTTTGTTTTTGTCATTCAACAACAACAATTAAACCAGCTGGTGCACTGAAACTCAACAAAAACGCCATTTTAATTATTTCAGAAAAAGATATTCAAAAAATAAAATAAAATTTTTAAAATGAATTGTTGAAAAAATGTTACACAAATAAAAAAAAACAAAAGTAAACGATTGTCTAATATGTTTAAAGTCATTTAAATGTGATATCGTTTAAGGAAACATTTAAAAAATGTACTAAATAAATAAAGAGTAATAAACAATCGGAAGGCCTAGCGTTGTGGGATGGTCTAGATGAGAGTCCTAGTCGACCGCGCGAAGAAACTTTTGTCAATCTGCACCACGTGACCAGTAGCAAAAACTCTGATTGGATGATTTCGAACCCAGTAATGACAACCAACTGTCCACCGGCTGACATCAATGTTAGCAGCCCAGTTGCAGCTGATCTCACGTTAAATGGTATAGAAAAGATAACATTAAAAATAATTTCTACATAAAAAGCTTTTTATGTTATCATGTACGTGTATATTGAAACGAAATGCAAAAATTAATAAAAATTTTGTTTATGAATCGGACAATGACGAAAAATTGAAAAACTCATTTCAAATTGAGCAATGCCAGGAATGCTGTGATATTTTTGAACAATTGTATATATATATATATATTTTTACAATATTCTATAAATTCTAACAAATGTTTGGCGTTAATATGTTTGTAGTTCGTTTTTTCGATTTTTCTCACTAAAGTTTTTTGGTGAACGTTTAGTTTATTAAAATT